AAGAGATATGCTTTTGTTCTTTTTCTCCACAGCCTGATCACACATGCCCATCTCAAATGTTTGGAGAGAACCAATGAGTTCATCCACCTTCATATTTCATATGTCTTGGGCTTCTTCAATGGCAGTGACCTTCATGGCAAACCTTTTAGGTAAAGACCTGAGAATCTTCCTCACAAGCTTTTCATCAGACATCTTTTCTCCCAAAGCTCTTGAGGTGTTTGCAATTTCAAGAATGTTCATGTAGAATTCATGAATAGTCTCATCCTCCTTCATCCTCATAGTTTCAAACTTGGTGGTCAGAATTCGAAGTCTTGACATCTTGCCTTTAGAGGTTCCCTCATGAGTTGTTTTGAGAGTATCCCAAACCTCTTTAGGCAGCTCACAATGATGCACCAGTATGAAGATGTTTTGTCTATACCATTGAATAAAGAATTCAAAGCTTTAGAATTCCCAAGAGCCAAGGCTTCTTGCTCTTTGGTCCATTCTTCTTTAGATATAAGTACAACCAATCCATCTTTATCAGTCTTTACTGGATGTTCCCATCCTGAGTTTGCAGCTCTCCATGCCTTGCTATCTAGAGACCTCAAGAATGCAATCATCCTAGGTTTCCAATAGTCATAATTAGAGCCATCCAAAAACAGGCAGGGTGCTTGCTCTGATACCAATTGAAATTCTGGCAAGCACACGATGGATGTTATCACGGATGTTATGACATCCACTGTAACATAGACTACCGCACTTAACAATAAGCTGTAAATGGAAAGCAGTAAATAACACAAGTAATTGTTCATCCAGTTCAGTGTCAACCACACTTATATCTGGGGGCTACCAAGCCAGGGAGGAAATTCACTATCAGTAGAGTTAATTCAGAGTCAAACAATCCCAGTTTGCACTCTTCACTTAAGACCTACCCAATGGCACTTCAGCCTAGAGACCACTAGACCAGAGTTTCCCACTCACTCCCCCTCAATCACCTCAGTGATATCAATACACAATTACAAAACCAATAAGAAGATACACTTCAAACACACCTTGATCTTGCTTCACAGCTTTGATCAAGGGACACATACTCTTGCTTAACAACTTTGAGTGACACAATGAACACACCTGTTCATACACAATAACTAAAGCAATTGTACAACATACACTTGCTTGGCAGACAAAGAATCCTAAGACTCTTAGACACACGTGAAGAACAAAGTTCTTCACTCACAAATCACACTCTATGATCTCTCACTAGAAGCTCTATTCTCTGTGTGTCTGCCCATTAGGAATGATCCTTCTGCTATTTATAGTAGCAGACCTGCGTTGGGCCTTGGTAGAGAATTTAGGTTTACCCAAGATAAACCTTTCTTCATGAAGCTGCGCACTTATCATTAGGTTATGAGCCTTCTATGTTATCCTCAGCAATGCCTGTTATGTTGCCTAAAATAACTATGCTTCCTGGTTTGCTTCCTGAAGTATAGCCTGAGCTAATAACAGAAAAACAAACCCTGCGCGCCCTGATATCATACGATCAATGTCATAACATTCAGTCATGACATTCAGCTTCACTTACTCTTAGCTTTCCCTGCATAACACTCTTCATGTATGTCCTAACATCAGTTATGACATTTACTCATACATTAATATTTTGCCATAAATGAAGCCAATCAAAAGCATCTACAACCATGATCGATCAAAGTAGGGTGGCAAAGTGGGCAGCCCGCCTCATTTAGGCCCGCCCTATTTAAGCCCGTCCAAAAGGGGTGCGGGATGGGGTGGGTCAACTTAGGTGTCTGAGCTCAAAAGCCAAGTCCGCCCCGTTTACTAACGAGTTGGCGGGTTGGTTGGCCGACCCACTAATTTTTCATTTTTTATTTTACAATTTGATTTACTACATAATTTATAAAAAAATTATTTAATACCAAAAAGGTCGACAAGAGATTTTTTTAAGAACACATAATAGAACTTCAACATGTCTTAAGTCCAAACAGTTCAAAAAATAAAATAAATAAAGACCAATTACAAGAAAAAAAACAAAAAAAAAACTCAAACACAATAAAAAACGTATCTAAATAATTAAATAAATAAACAATACATATCATCCTAATCCTATTTAAAAACTAACTATTAAAAGAACCCAATTAAGAATTTACAAAAGACAAACAATGATAACAATTACACTGCATAAAACAACACAGTATATAAAATAGTAGTGCATAAAATATCAACATCTGACTATCTCACTGTTTACATCATATAGATTCTTATATTGACTAATTCCTTAATAGTTATATCGTAAATTTTTCACACGTATACACTAATCAAATCCTTCCTTTTCTTAAAATCAACATCTTGTTCTAAAGAAAACACGTGAGCTAATGTTTGACAACTTAATAATTCAGCATGACATACAATTGTTCTTTTATTTTAAGTTTTTCCAATCAACACATGTATTAGAAAGTTATAGAAAGAACGTTACATTTATAATTCAATTTGTTTGTATAATAATATATAATACAATTTATTCAACATAAACCTAAAAGAAGAGTGTTGTTTTTATAGTTAAAGTTGTTTTAATTCTAAGTAAACAAATAAAATGTTTTAACAAAAAGCCCGTGGAAAAAACCCGCACCGCCCCACCTCGGTCCGCTTTTTCAAGCGGGTTAAGCGAGGCAAGGCAACTTAAAGTACTGAGCCGAAAACCTCAGTCCAACCCATCAAAAATGGCGGGTCAAACGGGCCGACCCGGCAGGCCTGACCCGTTTTGCCACCCCTAAGTGGAAGTTGAGATGCTTTGGTTCTTTGATTTCTGAGAAATAAAGAACGGGGAAGCAGAAGTTTCCCACAGACGACACCACTGATCTTACCTAACCAGAAAGAGATCAGCAGTCAGTACGTGTCGTAAGCGCCTAATTCCCCGGTGGTGGAGAAGAGGAAGAGGTGTACCTACAAGGTACTCTTATGCCAAAATAAGAAACGGAGTAAGAGAAATCAAGTACAATAAAGCTGGTTGAGAACAGAATACCTAACCCTATAGTAAAAGAGGTTATTTATAATGTGCTTTTAGCGCTAGGCCAACAGTTATTTTACATTGGGGTAGATCACTAGGCCCAATAAGAATAACTACTAGGATCTATGTGGCGCAGTAAAGACCAGCACATGGTCTTTATCCTGGTCCGACTATCCCGTGGTCTTCAGAAGGTGGGTGACTTGTTCTTTCGGACACGAGTAGTTTCCTGATGACGTGTCCTCGCATGGGGAGCACGTGTAGACCGTGGGGGAGAAACGTGAGTGTTCCTTGTGTGTGTTGATGGATTGGGCCTTCATTAAACTCTCTTCGACAAGGAGTTAGGCTGAGTCGTGCCCGACAGTGGGACAACATCTGGCCCAGTCCAGAACAATAATAATAATAATATTAAACTAATGAATAACTTTTTTTTTCCATATATAACTTTTATTTATTTTTTAAAACTCATCATTATCATAACAACAATTAAAATTAAATATATTATTAAATCATATAATATAATATAGTATTGTTATAGAAATACAAGTTAACTAGACATTTATGAATTAAACCCATATAAATGAATTGTTATTTCTTTTAAAAAATAAGAGAATCTTTAGACATATGGAAAACAAAACTTTGAAGAACCAAGTAATAGATGAAGTGTCATGTCATGATCACATGCTCCAATTTAGCATTCGTATTAATTTATATAGCAAAAAACTACTAAACAAAATTAGATTTTGTAATCTACAAAAAAGACACAAACTAGTAGGTATGAACGATACAGAAACTTGACATTAGCCTATATAATATTTGACTAGTCAGATATGGCAACAATAGCTCTCATAAACTAAATAATATCAAAAAGTGTTAAAAATTAGAGATTAAAAGTACGGACTAGTATCATTCAATAGGAATCCATTCAATCATTTCATATAATTAATTTAAAATTATCCATATAATTTAACAAAATATATAATAGTAATTGTTTAACAAATATATATATATATATATATATATATATATATATATATATATATATATATATATATATATATATATATATATATATATATATATATATATATATATATATATATATATATATATATATATATATATATATATATATATATATATATATATATATATATATATATATATATATATATATTGAGAATCCAGTTATTTCAAGAGTAAATTGTTATAACTTACTCTAATCATAGTCTTTAAATTAGATCTAATCAAATAATTATAAAGTAAAAATATTAATTTAACCATTAAATTAAATTAAATTTAAATATTATAATATGGAATAAATTAAAAAAAAATTAGTCTTGAAATTCGTTGATCCCCACTCATATATAATTAAAGTTGAACAAAGCCTAAAAACAAGAACATTCAGACAAAATCTCAACAAATAAAAAATAAAAAATAATATATATATATATATATATATATATATATATATATATATATATATATATATATATATATATATATATATATATATATATATATATATATATATATATATATATATATATATATATATATATATATATATATATATATATATATATATATATATATATATATATATATATATATATATATATATATATATATATATAAAATTAAAGTAGAACAAAGCCTAAAAACAAGAACATTTAGACAAAATCTCAATATATAAGAGAAATATTTAACTCCAAAACCATGCTTCCAACTAAGCAAAGAAGACCATATCCATTCATCATATTAAAGCCAATAAAATTACACATTATTCTTTAAACATCATCATTATAGGACCCTTACAACAAAGACCAAAATATCACAAGAAAGTACACAAGTATAAAAAAACACCAAGTTACACTTAAGTCTTACCTTATTGTTTATTCTCTAATAGAACAACATACGCGATATGCTTGAATACTTCTCCCCTTATTGTTTATTTTATTAGAACAACATACGCTGCACTGTGAGAGAATCTTACATATATGCTAAATTAATTCTTAGTCAATTTGATTGGAACAATTCTCACAGGTTGAGACTTTTCCAAAGTAATCCCATACTCATCTTCCTTATTCAAATCATCAATATTCAATCCATCTTCAAGTCTCCAATTAAAGCAATTGACCAAAGATCCCAACATTAAAGGCATCATCCTAATAGCCAAAGGCAAACCAGGACAAATTCTTCTACCAGACCCGAACGGAATAAGCTCAAAATGATGTCCTTTAAAATCAATCTCACTATCCAAAAACCTCTCCGGCGCAAAAACATTCGGATTTTCCCATTTAGTCGGGTCTCTACCAATAACCCAAGCATTAACCAAAACTTGTGCATCTTTTGGAATAATGTAGTCACCAATTTCGACATCTGTTTCTGCTTTACGAGGCAGTAATAAGGGAACCGGTGGATGCACGCGAAATGTCTCTTTTATAACTGCTTGCATGTAGGGTAATTTGGCTATGTCTGTTTCTTCAATTGGATTACCTTTGCCAACAACTTGTTCAAGTTCTTTTTGTACTTTTGCCATGATTTCTGGATTGTGCATTAACTCTGCCATTGCCCATTCCAGTGTGTATGTGCTTGTGTCTGTTCCTGCAACAAATATGTTCTGGTATACATACCAAAATTAGTTAGTGAAAACTATGCCATAATATCTAAACATATACAAGTTCTAATATGTATGGTCCGAACCAAGAACACTAGGATTAGATGATAAGTATTTCTTTCAACTTAACTAGAGGTTCTGGGTTTGAACGTGATTCTGATCATGCAGTAGTGTTAAATCTCTTAAGGAAGAGTTTTGAATTTTGAGGTTTGAACCCGGATTCAATAAAAAAATTAAGAGAAGGAATCTTAGAAAACATACCAGCAACAAATGTTCAATCTCATCTTTATCCATCTCAATCTTCCCATCGTCCAAAGAAATATTAAGCAAAGCATCAAGCACATCATCATTTCCAATAGAACCAGTACCTTCCCTCAACTTCAACCTTTCCCCAACAAATCTCCTAAAAATAGTCAAAACCTTCCTGACAGAAACAACAGAACGTCTTCTAATACCCTGCAAATCAAAAACCTTCAACATAGGAAAAAAGTCCGACAAATTCGGCACTCCAACTTCCTTCAATATACTCACAACAATCTCCTTATACTCTCCAGCTTCCTCGGCCGAATGAACAAAATCAGCCGAGAAAAAAGTATTTGACAACAAATTAATCGTTGTCATAAAGGCAACTCTCCCAATATCCACAGCTTCCTCAACTTCACTACACTTTCTGATATCATCTAAAAGCTTCTGTAACTTCCTCCGCCTAAGCCCCTGGCTCGAGTCCAGCGTCTTATTCGAAAACAACTGGTTGTTACAAATCTTTCTAAGGTCACGCCAGCGAGGCGAAACGCGCATGAAAGAGAGACTATATTGATCGTGGTTAAGAACGGAGAGTGCGTCTGGGACAGTTCGGTTTGAGAGTAGAATATCATGTGTTTGTAGAACTTCTTTTGCTATGTCTGCTGAGGATATTACTATGGTCGTTATTTGTCCTAGCTTTAGTGTCATTATTGGACCATGGATGTTGGAAAGGTTTGCTAAGGAATGGTGTGGTTTGTTTCCTAGTTTTAAAAGGTTTCCGATTATGGGAAGTGGTGAAGGACCTGGTGGAAGTTTGGAGTGGTTTTTTTGGTTGGTTTTGTTTGCTGGAATGAGAAATTTGAGAAGGAGAAGGAAAGAGAATGTGAAAATTAGTAGGTAGGAAAGTGTGGAATTTAGTAATAAGTCCATTTCTTTGATAGTGAATGGAACAAAATCAGAGAGAAGTGAAATGAGTGAGTTTCATAAGGAGTTGGATATGTCTATTTATAGGATCAAATTGTCAGGATTTGGATTCAGACTCTCTGCACAAAGTAAAGCACAATTGAACTTCTTTGAACATCCACATACATGCATGCAATTCAATTTAGCAATTTAAAATGACCCATTTAATATTTATTTATAATATAGCAAAATAGAGTTAAAAATCTTATCTTAGCCACTTCATCAATTTTGTACTATGTATTTCAAATTTTGACTTACACAAAAAATTCTTGGGTGACATCTCTCAAAATTAAACAACTTTCATTTATACAATTATCTTTATGTTTATTAAGATTGTATTTTCTAAAATTGATATTAATGTTAAGTTAAATTCAGGGTGTTTACGGACGGGTCGATTTACGAATCTGCTGATTTAAATAAATTGAATTTATAAATTATTCAAATTTATTTATTTACGGATATACTCAACTCAACCCATAACAATTTATATAGTTTTAATTTGGATATTGAATTTGAGTTTTGCAACTTGCAGATCCGTGGACTCAATCAATAATATTTTTAAATAATTTTTTATTATTTTAAATAAAAATATAAAACTAGTATCTCACTGATAACTATAATTTTTCCAAAAATATTTCATTCTCTACTAATAATACTACTAAACCAATAAATTTACATAATTATAAATAGTGTTTCTTATTTTTATTTTAAAAATTACTCTGTTACGAAGGGGAACCCATGATTCAGGAAAAAGCCGCATTTTTTTTAAAGTAAGGTCTTTATCCTTCATTCCATTCGTTTCGTACTACATAGCACGGCTCAATATACATTATCAAATTAAAATACTCTTGAGATAAAGAAATATAAAAAGAAGTACGAAATAAAATAATGAATAAAGTTAAAATTACTTACGATCTTCAATTTGAATGCACACGGAAGACATCTAAATAACAATAGTTTCAATATGTGTTTGTAAAGATTTTAAAAAAACTGACACTTTAATTAGGAGTATACATGAGTTGGGTTGAACTAGATTGATCTTCAATATGGATGTACACGAAAGACATCTAAATAACAATAATCTTAATATGAGTTTGTAAAGATTTTAAAAGAATTGAGAGTTTAATTAGGGGTGTACACGAGTTATGTTTGCATTAGAAATCTTCAAACCTTCTTTTTAATCATTTTCTCCAGATTCTTGGTCAATAACAGTCACATCATATTTTTATGGTACTGCTCGTATTTCCAAAAGGTAAGGGACTAGGCCTTTGGATAACCACTGGCTTTGGCTGACTAGCTGACTGAACAACAACAGGTTCTAGAATATTGAAGACTAGCTTCGGTAAATTGAAAACTGGTGTTTTGTCATTTGACTCTGGAAAATTGAAAATAGACTCAATTACTTCTACTTCATCTTTTTGCACTTTGTTACTCACTTGCAAAAAACCTTCATCAATCAGATTTTGGATGTCCTTTTGGACCAACTCACATCCTTTAGGACAAATAGCACATTCTTCACATTTTGCATGGCAAACCTTGACCAATCTTGCTTCTACTAACTATGCATGGAAAGCTCGCAGAGGAGTCTTGATTTCAGCAACATCTAAGATCAAATTTTCATCAGACACTTCATAAACGACATTGACAACCCCATGAGAAAGCAAAGGGTTGTTTTTGACATTTGGTCCTAAATCTCCAAATGAGAGGATCTTCTTTTCAATCAGCTCTCTCACAATGTGTTTTAAAGCATAACAGCCTTATAAATCATGACTTGGCGCACCTTCATAGAATGGACAGTGGGCATTGGGATTGTAGTACGGTGGAAGAGGATCAAGTGGTGGACCCAAAGATCTTAGAGCTACCAACCCTCTCTGTAACAATGAAGGGTATAATTTGGGGTAAGTTATTGGAATGAGAGCAATATGAGGTCTGCCACCATGCCTTCTGTTTTAAATGAGAGCATCTTGGCGTGGAGCTCAATTTCTTTTTTGATAAGCTGGAGCGTTGGACGCTCGATGATATGTTAGTGCAGTTTGAACTGGCTCGTAAGTAGGAGCTGGTTGCACAGGTTGATACATGAGAACTTGTTGATTAAATGAAGGTGTGATTGCTGCCACGTATGGTTATTGAGTGAATTGAACTGGGTAAGTTGGCTGCTGAACATAATGTTGTTGTTGTTGTTATTTCTTCCAAGACTGATTCTTCTTTCGACTAGTCATCACTGTATTTGTTTCCCCTTCTTTCTTTTTGTGAAAATTGCTAGAGGACTTCTTGACATTGTTGTTGTTGTTGTTGGAATTCCCAGCTCCGTTGATCATTTTGCCATTTTTCAAACCAAGTTCAACTTTAATACCTTCAGCAACTAGGTCAGAGAAGCTTATAGTTACACTTCCTACCATCCTTTCATAAAATTCTGGTCGTACTGTGTCAACGAACCAGTCAGCTAATTCTTTTTCAGTCAAGGGTTGTTTAACTTGAGATGTTGTTTCTCTCCACCTCTAGGGATATTATTTGAATGATTCAGAATCCTTTTGCGAAATGCTCAACAACTGCCTTCTATTAAGGGTCAAATCCATGTTATAATTGTAATGCTTTATAAAAGCATTTGACAAGTCTTGAAAACAACAAATACGGGTCGGATCCAAGCTCTAGTACCATTTGGAAGAGGCACCTTTCAAGCTATATTGGGAACAGTGGATCATCGAGCTTATCATTATCCATGTGGGCTGCCATCTTCCTATAATACATGATGAGATGATTCTTCGGGCAAGTAGCACCTTCATACTGATCAAAGTTTCGAGTTCTGAATTTTGTTGGGATAACCAATCCAGACACAAGGCACATTTCCCTTGTAGCAGCACCAAAAATCTGATTACCTTCCATAGCTCTCAAACTTTTCTCAATGGTTTCGACATTCTCCCTTAGATTTTCATGTCGTTCACCCCCATCTTCAGACATATCAGGGACATCATACACTTGTTGTTGTTCATGAAAGTAAGGTTGCACTTGAGTATGCATAACAGGTGGTGTAAAGGTAGGGATTACCTTATGGGTCTCAAGAACCAATGGAGCAACTTGTTGAGTAGCAGGTTTAGGCGCAAAACCTAGAGGAAGACCAAAAGGAGGAAAATTTGTTGGAGTAGTCACTACATGCTGAGGATCAACCACTGGATTAACGATTTCTAAAACCATTGTGGGTTGGGTATCCATCTTTGTACGAATCACTTACAACATCTCCATGATCTATCAATCTCAAGTTCCCTTGTAGGTCTTCAAGTTCATTGTTGTTCCTATCAATCTCTTGTTCTTGCTCAACCATCCTTCGTCGAGCTTGAGCTCTGGTGTTGTACTGGTATGAAGGACTTAGCGTGGAAACAAGAGATGAGACAACTGAATGAGTTAGAGAAGATGCAAATGTGATGCAAACATGATGACATATGCATGAATGCAATGCAAATGCAATTTTAATGCTTTCAAGGAAATCAAGAAGTAAGTTGCAAACATTAAAAGGAATAACACATTTTGAAAAAAAACTGAAAAACTTCATTTCATTAATATTAGGAAGATTACTTTGAAGTATAATTCAAGATACCCAAAATACAAGAGGAAAAAGTTAAGTCTAATGGGTCCTAAGGAATCCCATCTGAAGAAGGCTAACTCCTTGTTGATGCTTCCTCTTCTGCTTTTTCAACTATGTGTTCTCCAACACAAGCTTGTCGACGGTTTTCTTCCAAGCACCTAACGTGGGAGGAATGTCTGAATACTCATAAATGCTAGGAACTTGATGCACGCTAGAGAAAAAAATTCTCTTGCGCCTCATGTCTCTCCACAACATGTCTCTCAAGTATCTTGATCAAGTCGTGTTTTTCTTTCAGTTGCTTCTTCAGCTTTATCTTCTCAGCATTGATGGCATGATACTTTCCTTCCCAAGTATCTCGCTCTAGCTCCATCCTTGCTAACACTTCTTGATACTCCTCCATGCGCTCAACAGGAATGGTAGACAATGATGCAATAATTGGTTATGAAGGCCTTTCAAGAAGATAAGGCATCTTGAGGTCACGAGCTCTAGATTGAACCCACTGAGTGAAAGGCTCTAAGCCTGTACAGTTTCTCCTCCCCAACTGATCCTTACTCTTCCTATGAATCGTGTTCCAAGCATGCACAACTTTGTCCTTCGAATCTATACTAGCTTCTTCATTAAGATAAAAGATACCTGCCAACAGAATGTTGCTAGGTTTTTCGTTCATATGGAACCCAAATTGACGCCTTGCAAGAATGGGATTGTAGTTAATTCCCCCTCAAATAACAAGAAGAGGTACATTGGCAAACTTGCCACAAATATTAATGATTAATTCCTTTTCATAAGCTGGATCATACCAATGCACATTTGTGTGAGTAAGAGACATGAGCCTTTGAGACCATCTGAGCTTGTCAGGATTTTCCTTAAAAAGTCCATTTTGAGGCAAGTGTGAAACAAACCATTTGTAGAGTAGAGGAACACAACACCAAATAGTGCCCCCTCCCTTGAGGTTCCTATGATGGATGGAGTGATAAGTGTCACCAAGCAGCGTAGGTACTGGATTTCCAATCAGAAAGATTTGGATAGCATTAACATCAATAAAATCGTCAATGTTTGATAACAAAACCAAGCCATAATTAAGTAGTGCGAGGATAGCTTCGAAGGCATCCATATTGTTTTCCTTGGCTAAGAAACTGGCTTCTCCGTCAATAATTTGGAAGGCAAACCCTTGATTCCTCCTTTGCTAGTAAGATTAGCTTTGATCTCTGATACCTCTAGGTGAATGGCCTTTGCAATGTCTAGAGGTCTGGGAATCTTTTCTAAACCACTGAAAGGCTTCTTATTCAATACTAGCAAACCAAACCAATATTAATATTCTTCCAAAGTAGGGATAAGTTGGTAATCGGGGAATGTGAAATAATGGTAGAGGGGATCATAGAACTACACA